CAAGTGGACCGTTTTTGAAGAAATTCATCAACAAAGGAATCCAACATTTCAGTGGTAACATGTTGCATCACTACTACGTGTGCAATGTTTCCCTCACATGCCAAACTCCATTTACGAGCAAAGTCTTCGTCTGGTGGTCTTTCAAAGACAACGATGTTGCTAAACTTGTTTAACATTGCACCAATTCCAGCCTTTCGTAATCGATGTTGTAAATGGGATGCATTGGCTATGCATTTATGCACTTCGCTTTCAAGTCCCACAAAACCTTTTCTTTTTATGGCATACCAAAGAAAAATCGATGCATGCCCAGAACGACTACCTGTGATTGTAACATCTCTTGAACCAATATATTCTACATCAGTTAATACGTTTATGTATTCTTTACGAGTTATTACAGCACCACATGGGATTGGACATCCCAGAAACTTATGCCCTGAAATAGCTATACTTCCTATGGGTTTCTTGAAACTGATCTTTGGTGCCTGTACAATTATCCCAACATTACTTTTAGACAAAAACATACTTAACAATGTCAAATGGGACAACCATATTTCAGCAACATATTAATAATAAGAAGTGAGAAAAACGTGTCAATAATTCATGTGTGAGTTTAGATATGACATTTTCTATAATTAAGATTGATTTTAGCTACATCTATACGTAAATTCATTCAAATTTTAAATTGGAAATAATATCAATCTGTGAGTTGGTAATCTATCTCTTTTGTAACGTGAATGACATTTTATAAAATATAAGATTTTATGGTTAGATTTATAAGTTTTTGACTAAAAATTAACAATTTCCTAAATCAATACTCTTTGCTCGTGTGAACGGAGAAGTGAATGAAAAAGGGAGAGAAATAACATGGTTTATTTGAAACAGTTATCTACTCAATTATCAACATAGTATTTATTTTAATTATCAACATTTTTTCTCCTCTGTTTTATTTTAATATAGTGATTTATTGGTACTAGAAATAAATAAGAATGAAAAATAAATTTTCTTACATGAATATTAACTGAACTTGTTTTGTTTTAATAGGAAACTCTCAGGTTAATTAAGTAGAATATAAATAGTACTTTGTTTTTTTAATTGAATTAAAGATACATTTTTATAGTAGATAAATACGACAATTTTCATTTAATACTTTTGCAAAAATGTGGCTAAATCACGTACTAATATGGTATAAAAATTTATTTTAAAAATAACTATTAATCTTAGGAGTGTGTTGAAATCCATATATCAACTCGATATTATACTATTAGTAAACTTATCCTTATCTTTCAAACTGATGGTAAGAATGAATTCGATTTAAACTCAATTTTTTAATATCCAGCCTAGCCCAGCGATGTTTTTTATGAAATGATGTATGTGTAAAGCACTTACTTGTTTGATAAAAGGCAACATGGCTCCGAACAAAGCTCCATCACAATGAATATAGAACCTGTCGCGAGCGAAACCACATTCCTTAAGTGTTTGTATTACAAGATCAAGGTCATCAACTCCTCCTTTCATAGTTGTCCCTACAAGAAGAAAAACCTTTCAAATTTTACACAAAAAGTGTGTGCATATTATTAGTCTGTTATATGTGCAGTTGTCAAAGGTAAGAGGAGACCGATGTTGAGATTGATGATGGCTGGCTTGTCCCTGTGAGCAAGAAGCAATGTCTTTAGTTCATCACAATCAATCTCTCCAGAGACCAAACTGCTAACCTTCATGCATTGCATTCGATACATTCTTGCGGTTTTGAAGATTGAATAATGGGAATCTTGTGAGGCATATAAAATCCCATCCGGCAATTGTTCTCTCCTATACGTAAAACATGTAAGTCGATGTTTCTGCTTGGAACATATTTTTGAAGCATCAAAAGTGTCTACAAGTTTAACGAAACTAACCCTACTAAAATCCCATGAAGATTCCCTTCGGTTCCTCCTGTTGTGACGTATCCCCAATACTTGCTCTTCTCTATCTCACATAGATTTGCAAACCAATCAAGCACGCAAACTTCAAATGATGTTGAATTCATGGTGTAGCTGCTCCCTCCAAATGGATCACCAGCATTGTTCAAATGAAAATGAAGCAACGGTGCTAATGTGTCACAGTTGAGGTTTTGATTAGTGGGGTAGCCTGAAGTGCATTGAGATAAAACAAGAAAAGCATCATAATATCAACAATTATTTTCTCATTATCTTGACACGAATTATAAAGCAATATTTGTTGAATCATGTAAAACAAGTTATGACATGAAAGGTACCCAAGAATCGTAAGTTGGTCTGATTAAGACTCTGGGCGTAGTGAGAAATAACTGAATCCAAATTAGGTTGTGTCTCGCCATTGAACTCGGTGAGGGCAAGCTTGTCTTCAATACCTATCTGCAACTTCTTCTCTAGAGACATTGTCAGCTTAGCTCTGTTGACAACAACTATGCAGCACAAACTGTTGGAATACTGTGTCCGAGAATCACACAGAAAAGTGCATATGCAAAAGACATAAACTGTAAATGTGCATTTATAGTCGAAAATCTATCTTTGAGTAATAAGTTGTTGTTGCTTTATTCAAGTTCATTCATTACATGGTTCTGATTCTCGTTTATGGTTTAGGCTATCTTTATTAGGATAGGTGAACTTGTTAGTTTTGTAAGTTGGTTGTTTTATTGGTTTAGTATTCTTAATTAGTCTGTTATTTGAAGCTTGTATTAATGTTTTATTACTCATTTGTTGCTTGATATTGGATTACTACTTTGATCATTCTGGGTTAGATGTTTGATTTGTTATTTCTTGCTAGGCATTTTGTCAGCTTAGCTCTGTAGACAACAACTATGCAGCACAAACTGTTGGAATACTGTGTCCGAGAAGTGCATATGCAAAAGACATAAACTGTAAATGTGCATTTATATATAAAAACCAAGTATAAAAACCAAGTATATGTAGGACAGTTCTAAAATGGATCAAATATAAAAACCAAGTATTATATATAATCTGTAATGATAAGGTGATTATGTTGAGAAGGTATGAGAAAGAAAAGGAATGGATTGGTGAAGAGGAAAACACTTAGACTTTGTTCACTTGAATGGATTTGGGAGAGAGTCATTGGATGAATTTGAAAAGATTTGAAGATAGATTTTGTTATTGTTTATTTGAGTGAATTTGGAGGTATGTGAGAGTGAATTTTGAAGTAAAATTTTTTAAATTGTCAGATCAATTAAATCCTACACTAATTATCACAAACGTTGCTTCCAAATTCATTCTCACTTACTTCCAAATTCACTCGAATAAGTAACAAAAAAATTTATCTTTAAATCTTCTCAAATTCACTCGATCACTGATGCTCCCTTAAATCCATTCAAGTAAACAAATGGTAAAAACTAGGATATAAAGAAAGAGAAGGGAATTGAATAATGGAATAGAGTGTACATCCTAGTCGAAGACCACCACATTCTGCATTATTCTTTCCAACTTCATCAACTCTTCATTTCTTCCCCAACCACAACCAACAACGTATTTCATTGCATTATTCCATCACCAACTTGGTTCAGATGAGGGCCAAAAACCAACAACATCCACCACTCTTTGTCTCGTCAAACCAGCAATATCCCTCGCTACTACTTCAACAGTGACATCCATTACCAAATGCCGTGCTTCACTTCAATTCCTCTCCCACATCTCTCCTTACTTATCATCCTTCCTTTTCAATAATCATCTAATTTGCCTTTTTCTTCTTCCTCCTCTATTAATATTTATAAATTAATTATATCTCTATTATGCTCAATATTCTCTTTCTTTAACTTAATAAATCTATACCAACATAAAATGTTTCTTCACTAAAGTCTCACCGCTAACTTTTTCTTTAATAAAAGAACTCGCTTGAGTTTTTGGCTTATAATAATAGAGTGAAATGATAGCTTATATAAATAATGTCAGGTATACTACTCGAATTTTCTCATCTGATTATAGTTTGTCAGTTTTTGTTACCCACCTTTAGAATACTCTATGTCTTGTTTAGGTTAAAGAAAGGACGTTAACAGGACTGATAATTCCAACTATTTTAAAGGCTAAATTAAAGTTGGATAACTAAAGGAAAAGAAAGCTAAAATAAAGACGGAGAGTGTGTGGATCAAGCAAAAAACTAAGAGAATGTGATGGTGAAAGATGATGATTAGTTAAATTCCAAAATTCCATGAATAATTTGTTAAATTCCAATTGGATATCCTGTGAACATTTGTTTCAAAAAGGGTCCTTGCACCCTTCAAAATGATCATCGTGCATCTAAAGTTTGAGATTCCTTTCCTCTATTAGTAGCCGAAAGAAATATAAAAATATGAATATATAGACCGAGCAAGACACGCTTGCATGAAACATTACGTGTTATATCACAACGAAAGTGATTGAAGTTTTCGAGATCACTGCCATAGATCGTTTCCTTAAATATCCCATACGGCCACACCACGCCTTGTCATTTTTTAGTGTTCCAAGAATTCATTAACATCCTCAAGAATGGAACCGTAATTGTCCAACTCTTTTAAAGAAATCAAAAGTTAGACAAGAAAGCTCAAAACAAAACAAAATTAAAATAAAAGAAAAATAAAATATGATAGCGAGAGATGAAAAGCTCTTTGAAAGAAAAGAAAGTTGAATTGTTTTGTTTAATTCCGTATGGCACACTGCTGTTTTTAAAAACGAATTCCGTGATTAAATTGTAATACGAGAGTAAACTAATTAATTAAATTTGATATTGATGATTGATCTATAATATGTCTTGAGAAAGAGTTTCGTTTGAGAGAAACCTTGAATTGTGAGGTCTATTATAGAGAATTCTGTCGTAGAAGCTGACAATTAATAATAAAGATCACGAACAAAATACTTCCTGAGACGTGTAGATCACTGTCCTTAAGGACTTATCCGCGGTGTATTGCGCAAGTCCCCAGGAGGACCGTGGTGTATTGCGCAAGCCCCCAGGAGGATCTCAGAACTAGTAAAGATATCTAAAGAGAAATATTAAAAACCCAGAATAATTTTAGAAGAAAAGAAGACAAAAAGATTAGAGAATGAGAGAAAGGAAAGAGAATGCAAACATGCGTATTTGGAATGAAGAAAGTCACTCTATTTATAGAGTAGGAAATCAACAAAGATTGGCCTAAGGCCCAACACCAATGGGAAAAATCTCTGCCTTCCGGAAATGGCTTTGACCATGCAGCAACAATTTAAACGTTGTACATTAAAAATTTTAACGTTGACAACCGCATCACAAGAAACTTGCGGAATGTATCTAACTTTAAATTATATTTTACAATATTATATTAAATAATAACAAATTCTTCCATGTGTGCTTGTTCTTCTTGTTTCTCTATTTACCATTTATCAGATCTAGCATTTGTAGTTGTACCATGTTTTCAGTGTTATTTGTCTAGTGAACCTTTTTTTAGTGAATTTGTAAGTTATTTTATAATATTGTGAAATATATTTTTCTCTTTTAATAAAAATGCGAGTTTTCCACTAGGTTTATTAACTAGTTTGTTAAAAAAATAAAAAAGGTACATTAACAAGAGTTGATCATGTAGAATAGCATCTTCAAAATTGCATCACATTTTGTTGATGCAGGTTGTACAACCCTACCAAAACCGACAAATATATGTTGGTAACACCTTATAGACATGTTATCATTTATATATTGTCTGGTGGATTGAATCCTTGTCTAATGTGCATTCCACGTTGAACCAAATATTCCAATTTCAGCTTATCCAACTTCAAACCAGAGAGGACGAAGATTACCAGTGGATTCAACCCAACAGTCACTTTGTAGGGAGAGGGTCACGTATAGAAAAATATTTATATTAAATTTTGATTGTTAATTATGATTTTTCTTAGAGTTCAACAGTCTTTTCTAAACATGTTTTATAATATTATTACACAAACTCGTCTAATTTGTTTATGTTATTTCATCTATAATGTTTAAAATGAATCAATAGGTATTTCTTTAAACAAATCAATAAACTTATGAACTAAAATTATCACATATTTTAAAAAAAAGTTTTTTTTACGCACTTATAAGACGCAAATTAATAATGTTACAAAAGCAATATTATTTTATTTTTCAAATTTATACCAATTTTTTTCTTCTCTTTCCTCTTTTCCTTCTTTTTTTTATTATTCTTCTCTTTTTTCTTGTTCTTCCTTTTCATCATCTTTTTCTTCTTTTTTTCTTTCTTTTTCTTACTTTTCTTCATCTCATAAATTTAAACATACATAAATATAAAACATTTAATAAAAATCAAAATTTATGAAAGAAAACGTACAATGAAAACACCACTGTAGTTCACATTGCCACTACAATCAGTGCAAACACTTTCATCGTTGTTGTAAGGTATGAGTTTTTTGTTTTTTTTTTAAACCTCTTACGCGCAGTGCTGTGAAGAGTGCAACGCTGTTTATAAGATTTTAAAAAACTCGATATTTATGTTTATTACTTTAGTTACAAACATATATATCAAATCACTTTTTTATTAAAAGTCAGCTCAAATCGATTCTAATGCAAGATTAATTTGTAAAACATAGTTAATCGATTATGTAAAATTCTCTTTTTACAATAAAAATGAAACTCTCTAAGATTTATTATTTTTGTCATCCAACAATAATTTATAATTTATAAGGTGTGTTCATGTCAAAATTCTTTGACTTATAATTGATTTATTGTTTTCCTTTCAAATATTTAAAACGTGTGTATTTTAAAATATGTAACGTGTATTTTGGATGCATCTTTATGTGCCAAAATTATTTGATTTAGAATTGTTTCATGTAAAACGTGTATTTTAAAATTTTAAAGGAATATTGTACTTATTTATTTCTAAAATTATACTCAAAGTTTATTGTGCTGAGCTACTTGGCTTTCCGTAACGTAACAACTAAATCTAATTTTCTTAAATATAATTAACTCTTTAGAAAGCTGTATTTTTAAATAACATGTTTAGTCGTTTTTATATAATAATGGAGTTGGCAGGTTAAAGGGATTGTAATTACAAGTTTTTCTAAATTAAAAAATAATATATATATATATATATATATATATATATATTTTAATTTAAATTTAAATAAATTTATTCTAAAATGATGTTAAACTTTAAAGGGTGTTGGAGTCTCTTACTCAAAGCATTTCAAGTTTGTTCTAAAGACCAAATGGACTCCTTGGAGGTCATCCATAAGTTGTTTGCTCTCCCTCCTGCGTGTCGAAGCCTTGTAGTTGGGTACCTATCAATGACATTCTGACGCTCAAGTCAGTAACATAATTGATCGGTTATCACAACAAGTGATGCATATAATGCGCATAATCCTCAAAAGTCATACCTGAGACCTTTATTTATACTAATTATAATGACGAAAATTGGTAGCATAATTGGTAGCATAATTGTATCGCATGCTTGACGAAACATTTATAAGAATTACGTATATAATATTTA